CAAGTGTGAGAAATTTTGTATTCGAAATGTGTGACTTTTGCAGCAATACTGAATTGCTGGGAGCTTCACCCCGATGCGAGGAAGAACTGTCCTGTAGGAACAGTGCAGCTACTGCCTATGCATTTACCTGTGTCACTAAACCAGAAGTATTCTGTGACTGCAACTTTGGAAAGGGGGCTCTGGGCTGTTTCTGTCCCCTGCTGCTGAGTGTCTTGGTAGCCAAGTGCTGTCAGAGTGTCACAGCAGCCCCCAGGAGCACCCCTCTACACGCTTGCAGCAGGATTGAGTGTTGCTTGCTGGTAGGTTGTTGCTGTGTGGTTCATCACACTTTGGTGTTGCTGGCATGGGGCTGTTTGCCGCCATTCAAACCTGATTGCCATGCCCTCAGCCCTTGGCCTAAGTGAAGCCATGGCACTCCTGAGGTACCTTTATGTGTTCTTTTCCATTAAAAAAAAAAAATTGCAATGCATAAAAAACAAAGCAGTTTGTTAGGGACTAGCTATTTGTGACAGTAAAAGGATGGATTTGTGAATTTACACAGCACTAGATTGTTGTTTGGGCATCCTGTTTGTAGCATAGCCTTTTTCTAAGAATTTGTGAATGCCTGTCTCAAGTTTTGTGGTTGGTTGGTTGGTTTGTTTTTTAATCTCAATATTCCCTTTGTAACACTGTAAATATTGCTTTTCTTTTCTCCATCTTGTCTGACTGAAACCTTTCCAGGCATAAGTTGTCTTATACCAGCATCCATAGAACATAGCACCAAGCAGTTATGGTTGGGATTGAGGAATACTGATATTTCTGTATTAGAAATAAAATTAAATTAAGAGGAAGCATCCTCACCTTGAAAATCAGACTTCCATGTAAAACTCTTTACTGGCTCAGAATACAATGAGCATCTAAGGTTACAAAAAAAAAAATAAAAATAAAGGAAATATTATGGCCTCTTTTCAGAACCTATGTGTTTTCTTTCCATTTTTGATTGTGCTTTGATCCTGTTTTGTAGGAAAGCTAAGTATTTGCAAATCGAGGTGATGTCAGTTGGAGACACAGATATTCAGAGCACCTGAATATCAACTATTTATCTCTGTTGTCTGCACTCCTCCCTCAGCTCCCCCAGGCCAGTTAGCTATTTGGGTCTTTAACATAGCAGTGATCAGAGAAAGATATTATTACAGAAAGGAAAAGCTCATAGACAGATGTCATTTCTTGAAAGAAATGTTCATTTCTTCTTAAAAATCACTGGCTGCATCTTTTTGAAAATCACTGATTAGAGTCCCTGCTGACATAATGCTCCCAGTAGGTTCAGAGCTGTTGATCCAAGGACTTCATGGTAATAGATCTCCACCAAACAGAAGATATTTCTGATTTCAACAGGCTTTTTATTATCAGTGGCTAAAGTGCTGCTATTCATGCAGTATTAAACTGTTTATGGTTTGACATTTGAGCTGATTAAAGATAGTTTAGAGAACTATTTCCAGGTTGTTTCTGTTTTGCAGAGCAAAGGACCCACTTTCTACTGCTGGCAGAATTATATAAAATGTAATGTGCAGTCAGGAGGAGATATACAACACTAGATAATGCTTTTATCTTGAAGGAACTCAGAGGTAGGTAGAGAAGCAAGTCAGACATTTAAATAAACCATGATCCAATGAGATAGTCTGAGATGAAGTTTGCTCCTACCTCACACTCTCATCAATAGTCAGTCAGTTCTCAGCTGCAGCCTCCTTTTCTGGTCAAAACTCTTGAGAACTGAGCTGCCTTCAGCTGTGCTCAATAGCTCCCCAGGACTAATAGAGTCGGCAATTGCAAAAACATGGCAGTAGGAATTGAGAGGACAATGTAATAGTTGTGCGTTCTTTCCTCCTTCTTCTTGCCATAAGCAATATGCATTCTCCAAATCCAGAACCAGCCTGTCGGTGTCATTAAATGGAGAAATATGGAACAAGTGTCCCCTTCTGCTCGTGGTAGATGTGGGAAAGGAAGATCAAGGAAAGTACAGCAGGGCTAGAAAAGTCATAACTAAAGTTAGGGACTGGCCCTTGACAACAGTCAGGTTTAGCACGGTATTAATGTGAGTCTGGCTCTTGACTTTATACATGCAAATACTTAAAATATACAAAAGGTAAAGCAAACATTAACAGAGTTTTTCTTTTGCATGTAGTACAAAATTGCCAAGCAAATATCAAAGCAAATCTTCCATTCCTTATGCATAGGTGTTTCTTAACAACTGTGGACAGTAGCCAGCATTTCACAGTTGAAGTAACTGTTACATCAGGGTTTGATATTCTCCCCTCTTGCAGACAATTCATGTGGTGACAAGTACTCCCTGCAAAGCAGCCTGGACTGTATCCCAAAGATTGCCACCCTCTGCTGTATCATATTAATGAACTTGTACAACTAAAAATAATTACACATGCAAATTTGGTGAAAAGGAGTTTAATAGGGAAATTTCATGACTGCACTAGAGAAGTTGTGGTTTAGCACTAAGATAGATCTGATTGCTTGAGCATGTGGGTGCTATGGTAACTCGGTTTCACCATTTGGAAGCACTTGAGCTGTAAACCACAGTATGCTGCACCCTCTTCCTTTTGAGTAGGGTTCTGTAGAAGAAAAACAGAAGTAAACAGCATGAGAGAAACCACAGAGCAGCAAAGGCGTCGTTAGCTGTAGTCGTACAAGTGGGTTACTGTAGTTAAAGTCCTCCTGTGAAGACTGAGGATGTCATTTAAAGTGCAGTGCAATTGATAGAAATGCCTTCCTTCTGCCTGCTAAATACACAATATTCCTGGATATTTAAGTTTGCAAGAGCTGTGTACATGGCAAAAAGTATTTGAATTGCTGCTTTTAGTTTTTGTTCTACTTCACATTTATGGTTTTGAGAAATTCTAGATATCATTGGTAATAAAGGTTGTTTCCATGAAATTAATACTTCTTGAGGGAAACTTCTGTTTTTCTCCATGTTTTTACTTTTGTCTGGAAAAATTAAACCCTTAAATTTATTTTGTGTAATCAGAATCAGAAAATTCCTTTTTTTAAATGGTCAGAAATATGTCATTTGATTTCAGGTTAGTTGAGAAAAAAATATTATTTCAGTATTTTTCTTGTGCTTTTTTCTTGTCCTTTCCTTAAGACAGGCTCTCTATGTTAGCAGAAGTTATGCTTGATATTAATTTGTTTTAGCTGATGAATATTGACAAACTTTGATGTTTGTACTTCCTCCTTTTTTCCCGAGCCTGCAACGTTGCGTTCCTCCTTGTATCTGCCAGCTATAAATTCTTCTTAATACCATCTCTTTCTCCTGGCTGCTGCCCTTGTACTTGATTGCTGGTTAATCTGAATTTTTCACCTTCTCCAATGCTGTAAATACTGCTTAATGCTTATAGCTGACTCTGAAAGTGAGAAGGAGAGAGATAACTCCCATCCTGGAAGCTGGACAGCAAGGAGAGGGTCATAGATGTTGTGAGCCAAGAACAAACGTTAATTTCAAAGGTCAATATTCATTAAAAAAATAATACCACATCCTATCATATTTAGCTGTGGCATAGACCTGCACTTATTCCTGAGATGTGGTTTGCAGGAAGACTACGCCTTCCACAATGCAATTCAGGTCTGAGTGCTGGTAGGTGTCTCGGGAATTAAAAAGACTTTGGCTCCCCAGATATATGCTTTAGCCAAAGATTAAAAGTGGTAGGAAATAGCGTCAGGATCAGGCTCTGAGGCAATGACTGCACTGTGTTAAGGAGCCCACTATGGAGGGCAATTATTAATGAACTTGTATAAAAGGAAATATTATAAGAAATTCAAATTGAAACTATTTTAATTATCATTTTGAAAAGCCAGAATGAATGTTACATCCTGATGCAAAAGGAAACAATTGGCATTTCTCAATCAAAATATTTTAGCATTTCCGTTAAATTAAAATTTCAGTTTCAACATATTATCCCTAAATTCTGGTGAAAATAAATATTGCAACTATTGCCTGTGGGAATAGAAATTCTAATATTTATTTAGTTTTAATTCTCAGCTACACTAAATGTATAGCATTCCTATGATTACTGTACAGCTATGAAGATTTTTACTAATTAGATTATGGTTTACTTTCGTGGCTGCATATTCAATGACCAAAACTGTAGGCATTTCTTTAGGACCCTCTGAAATGTCCCAGTTACCTGAGAAGTTTCTACTTGTTAAACTCAAATGAGTAATCTGGTTTTTGACTCAGAGCATGCTAAATTTCACATATTTTTAATGTGAACTTTATATGGCATTCTTTTAATCAATTTTCAAAAAGCAGCAGTTTGTCCAGAAACTGGGAACAGTTGGGGTTTTTTTCTTCCCCAGAGTTAGTGATAAAGTGTAATTCTGCAGTCTGTGATTATGAAAGTACTTCAGCACACATGATCCTACCTATAAAATTTGAGGGGTCCTCTGTGGTATAGAATTACTCAGATGTTTAAGTGTTTGCTAGCCTATTCATAGGTCTGCCCAGATTTGTTTATAAAGTAGCAATGGATCCCTTTATTTCGTGTTTGCAGCAAAAAGAAGCAGTAACATCTCTGGCCCTGATGCTCATTTACTTTAAGGTCCCTTTAGCTGGTTCTGGCAGCACAAGGGAGCCTTAAAGTAGGTGTGAATTACATCCTATCCCACTTGAAGTTTAAAAATAAATCAAAGAAGGGCAGCTGGCAGCATTTTGTAAGGCTCCTTGCCTTACTCACCCTTCACCTCCCACCAGGAACTGTTCTTTTTTTGCAATTTAGTATTGGCTTGCAGTGGAGCTGACTAATGTCTGTGCTGTTTGCTAGAAGACCCCCTCAAAGAGCTGTACTCCATCTGAACAAGTAGACCACATCCTGTTGCTTTCTGTGCGGATGTGAAGAGCCCTGACCCTGCTGAAGCAGTGCCGTTCAGCTGTAAAAAGAGGGAAGACAGAATCTGGACCTACACTAGCTGCTTTGTGTAAAGTGCTGCTTGGTGGGGGTTGCTGGGGTCTGTCCAATATGCCGAAGGGTGGAGAGATCCTGGGAAAAGGGCAGCAGCTCTGCGGAATCTCTAAGCATTTTTCCTCGCACAAAAACCCGGCTGCCAATGGTTTTGCAGACACGAGGCTGAGAGGAAGGATTACTTCCTCTGCCCCCTCCCCAGGTCTGGCAAAGACACGTGTAGTGCAGCTGGACGTGAGGAGCCAGCTGGTATGGTACCACACTAGATAAAACACCAAATGCACTATTAGCAGAAATGGATCCTCTTTTCCACATTTCTCTATGCTGTGTCCATCGAGGAATGCAGTACTGCATCACTCCTGTGCTCAGAAGGGACAGCCTGAACTACTGGTGTGCAAGTGCAGTGCTCTGCCCAGCCCAGCAGGAAATACAAAACTGGGTCCGTTTTACCCACTCTGCAAATTAAGCAGCAGAATGGAGTTCCCTGACATCAACTAATGCATTTTTTCCCATATAAACATTATAATGTTTTTAGGTTCTTAATGCCAATTCAACAGTATCTTCATCTTATTAGCTGGAGTTTCCTTTAATAACATGTACGCACAAGAAACGTGTGCTGGCACTTCCTTCTGCTTAAGAAGATCAGACCCTGGACTTACTTGGAACACAGCATCTTTTAACATACCCTACGTCTGAGTTGTCTTCTGTTGAGTTGCTTGGTCCTACCAAGTGGAATGCATTTTCACTTTATTCTGTCTTTCCTGAGAGAAGAGCAGCGAGCAGTAACTTCTTACATGGGTGCAACCACAGTTCGCTGCAGGGAGTGCAGAGTCACTACTGCAGCGGCAATATAGCAGCTCCTGTACCTCCAAATGTGACCCATACAGCCTGCTGCCCTTGGGGTTTGAAGGGTTTGGCTTTTTTTTGTGGCCTGGCTTCTTTCACAGTTTTTCCATTTACTCTTCTTGTTGAACGTTGAAAGGTTTCTTCAAAATACGGTAGTCCCATGTTTCACTCCCAGGGCCTGTATGTCTTTGAGCTTTCAGGGGAAAGGGTGGTCAGCTCATCTGTTTTAGGCGTATTTCATTGACAACCTGTCATTCCATCTAAAACCTTTCTTTCAAGCAGCAGCTGCACTCGGTCTGCCAACTGGTAGCCAGAGAGGAAAAGGAATGAGAGTGATTAGCCAAGCTCCCATCTGCCTGTGGGATGTGCTGGTTGTGTCTTCTTGCAGGGCACTTGACTAAGGCCAGATCCACTCAAACATTACTGATGGGCTGCAAATCTTTCAAGTAAGTCATCAGGAACCATCTGGTGGCCAAATCAAGAGTAAAGAGAAACTTAGAAAAATTCCTTCAGAAGTAGGAACTTTTTGTATACTTTAATTCTTCCACTAGGGTTATTTGAGCCTATTCTATGCATATTATCTTTAAGCTGTCTTACAGCTGGATGCAGTTTAACATCTGAGAAAAGGTTTGGGATAGTTCCTGTTTAAACCCAAACCAACTTGCTCAGTTTGGTGATCATTAGGTTTTCATACTGCACAGCATGATTTTTGGGGGTTGGACATCCTTATTAAATTTTAAAGATATTCTTACATTTCAGCCATCAAGATTCTAGAGTTGTGTTTTAGAATATAAACATGAGCAGACAGTTTTGACTTTGAAGTTAACTTTGTTAACCCGAGGTTAGCTCAGGCATACTTGTTAGTTGTGGGACATTTGGGGAAAAATTAATTAATAGTAGCGATATGCCTATTAATATTGGAGTAACACAGTCTGGTGTGTTACTTATCTCTCAATAAGGTTATATGGGGAAATGTATCTGCTTTACTGTTTGAAAGGATTTTTTTAGTGTTCTGGTGCCATCTATTGAATTCTTTTCAACTGCGTCCTGTTCCATTGCTATAATAAATCATAGAATGGAATAGAATCATAGAAGAGCAGGAGACCTCTAAAATGCTTAGAAGGACACAAAACTGCCATGAAATTCTGTTAAAATGCCAGTGCTTACTTGGAGGGAAAAAAGGGCAACCTAAGACGATTATTTTCCAAACTGTTTTAAGAAGTGATCTGCTCTAGTTGACACTGGTCTAAGCAGGGCAGTTGGACTAGACAATCTCTCGAGGTCACTTCCAACCTTGAGTTCTATGATTGTGTGTGACATTTAACATCTGTCACCGTGAGTGAGCAATAAACCTCACGCTATGTTTAAGCTAGTAGCATTATCCCTAACTTTACAAGGGAGAGGCTGGGGAAAATGACTTTCACAGGAATCTTAAGGAAGTGAATGAGGCAACTGGAAATACAACACTGTGACCACCTTATGAGCTCTCTTTTCCTCATATTATCTTTCCTCACTTGGAAGAGGGAATCTTGAAGTATATATTTTTGTCTCCATCATGTTTGCATTGGAGATCAGTAAATAGCTTGAAAAGTACTTCTATGTTTCACTAATCTCTGAGCAGAGATTCATTTAGGACTTTTTCTGCAACTCCTTTTTTTCTTTTCTTGGAAACAGTTGTTGAAGTGAAAGTTGATCTGTATATATTGGGTTTATTTAATGAGCTGAACCAAAGTAAGATTTGGAAAGGAATGGGAATAATTGATTCTTCAGCTGATAAGTCACTTGAAGAAAGAAAAATCATGGAATTTAGAGTGACCAACTTCCAGCTTTCAAACACTGAATTTAAAAAACATGAAGATACATTGCAAATTAATTGCTTATGGCAAATATGAATGAATATACGCGATAGCTTTTACAAGGTTCCTTGGCAGTTTAATGTATACAGTTAGATTATACAATTGCTGTTAATAAATGTTCCTATCCTTACCGGAGATTTCAGATGCTGAAGATACATTGATAGTTCAAAATATCATCTATATTTTTTATTTCTTGTCTGTAGCATCTCTCAGGTTAGGAAGCTTTGTCTGCTGACAGTCTGTAGCTTTGAAAAGTATACGTGGTCTTGTGTTTCAATAGAGATAGATAGATACAAATGAGTTAACATATGAGAGCTGTTAATATAGCGGCTTCTAAACCCATGTTATTCAGTCTGTTGTCAGTCTACTTCATTTTTTACAGATTATATTCTTAAAATCAAGAGCAATTTTATTTTGACAGTTTCATATGGTTTCAGACATATTATAGGCAGGCCCATATCCTCACCTCATGGACCAGATTTTAAGCAACAGCCCTCCCCACTTCTATAAAGCATGAAGTAGCTAGCTCTGCATTACTATTTTTAGCTGAGTTTCATTTGACTTCTGTTGATACTTTTTCTTTAAAATATCAGACTACTGACTTTTTCTAAATTTTAATTTGTAGGAAGAGGTCTTGAATAACTTGCAGTCCACAACGAATTCAACTGCTTACTAGAAAAGTACTTACAAGATTTTAGCTTTTGTTTACATTCATTTTTGTATCATGGCTTATATTCATTTCATGACAGTTCTGAGCATAAAGAAATTACTCGCTCTCCACAGGTGACTTTGTCATCACTGGTTGTGTTTTTTTTAATGGCTGTTGTCCGTCTTCTAAACTCTTCATATGGGGTGCAGAATCCACGGCTATTGAGAAGCCAACACATGTGTTGCTGCTTGTCTGGTTGATAAGGAGAAAATATTTGGAGTCTTGGGAGATCTGCCTATGTTGAGCTTCTGTGTCAGAGATGAGACATGGTTTTGATGCTGGCACATGAACAGGGCAACAGAATGCGTATCCTTCATAAGTATTGCAGTTTTTGACACAAACCTGGATTTTTGTTTTAAAGGTTGAAGTTTATTTTCAAAAAAGTAGAGCTACAGCAGTTGTGAA